GACCTATTCTGTTGGGAGGAGATTTTAACTTGGTTAGAAGAGTGGCTAAGAAATCATTTGGAAATGTCGAGGTGAGATTTATCTACGCTTTTAATAACATGATTGACACCACATAGTTGAGAGAGCTCGAAAGATCAGGAAGCAGATACACATGGACTGATAATCAGATTCCCCCAATCATGTATGTCCTAGATAGGGTGCTGGTTAATAATTCCTAGGATGACAAGTTTAATTTGGCTCATGTGCATACCAACCCTCTCTGTTACTCTATTTCTTCATGTACTATGATGAACTACATCTTTTATCACAAGTAGAAGAGGTTGTACCATCTATGCTAGCTGATCGTACAGTATCAATCAGTCCGCGGCACGTTGAGCGTCCACGGCGAACTGTTTCTTCTCTTCGGCCTTCCTCTCCCGGTATGAGTCAGAGTCATTTTTTAGCTTTGCGGCCGAGGCCTCGGCGGTTTTTCTAGCTTTTTCCTCTTCACTGGCCTTTCGCTTCAACAGCGCGAGCTCCCTTTCGAGATTTTGTATCTTTTCGTTTTTGGCCACTATGTCCCTTTCCATCTTCTCTCTGTACGCCTGGCCTTGGCGATGGATGCCCCGGGTCAGGATCATAGCCTGCAAAAAGTAAAAGATGTAACACTTGTCGGCCATAAAGGCAGAATAAAGCAAGGTGAAATGCGCTAGTCAAAATTAGGCTTGCGGCATGGAAGTTCGCCGCCTCCATCAGGGCCGTGTCTGGCTCCTTCAATATGTCCCTCTCTAGCTCCGGGAGGGCAAACGATTCGCTGCAGAAGTCACCAAACTCTGCAGCCCTGCTGTTCGGCAACATCTCCATCTCCCGATAGTTCACGTTCCCGATCAGGCGAGAGCTCGCCGGAATCCCTAAATAACGAGCAATTCGGTAAGCCTCCTCCTTTGCCGGATCCATCTCGCCCGAAGAGCTGGACCCCGAATAAAAGCGCATCTCATCATAATCCTCAGGTCTCGAATTCAGTTTCAGCCCTCCATGGCCAAAAAGCTGACTTCTAACTATGTCCTCGGTCAGGAAAAGCTGATTTTCGGCATCAGGGCCGCAGGCGTGCTTGATCGCGTTAACGAACGCGACATCATTCGGATACCCCGCCGGGCGAGTCACGCGCAAGTTAGGACCAAAATAGCTGATCTTTTCGACAATGCCTTTAAAGCGCGCGGAAGTAGCTGCAGAGTGGAGGTCATTGACACGCGAGCCATTCCTCAACAAGATCTCGGCTTGTTTGCCAGCGCGAAGTCAAGGCAAAAGCATCGCAAGCGCCTGTGACTTCTGCCCCAGTAGCTGAGAACTCCGGTTTTCTCACCCAGCCATAGGCGTCATCTCCGAACCCAGGGTCGAAGCGCGAGGTAAATCATTCGCCAGAGCCTCTGTCACCATCTCGTCCGTGCACACCCTATGGTAGAACCGAAAGTTCGTCCACCGAGGCCACTTGTTCCGGTACGTGGGAACAATGCTGATATTGCCTCGGGTCTTCTTCGGGACGAAGTTGTACGACCCGAACTCCACCACAAGTTCTGCCTCAGTCTGGCGGTCCTTAATCACTTTGCGGTGGACCTGGGCCTCATAGAATTGAATGAAGGTGTCTGCTTTCAGCTCGCAGCCCATCATTTTCAAGGCCATAACGAAGACGCCGGGACGAGCGAAGGCGTTCAGCGTAAGTTGGCGGATTTGGATTCCAAACCGTTCGAGCACTTCACCAACAAAGTCCTCGCACGGAAAGCGAAGACCCATGACCAAAAAAGTCTCTAGACACGACTGCCTCATAGGGCTCGGTCTTCGGAACCTCTTCGTCGCCGGGCGCCCGATAAGCGTTCGGAAACTCAGCATTCAGGAGCCCCTGGAGAACATATTCCCGCAGGACTCCTCCGGTCACGCGAGATCGACCAAGCCGATACGTCAACCCCAGTTCCCCTTTCTTTCGCCTTTTCGCATCTGACGGCACCAATTCAGTCCCTGACGAGCTCCCGGATCCCTCGTCCACTACGTTTACAGCACTGCCGGGCCTTCAAGGGGCGAAGGCTCCGCAACAGGTGCACCAGCAACCGCAACTGCTTCAAGCGTGCGTTCTGACGAGATCTCTATCGGACTGCCCCGATGCGCACGAGAGCGCGAAGCCGACCTAGATCTGGTATCGCTGGACGAACTCCCCCCGGATGAAGATTCACTGGACGACATCTATTTGGACGCAGCGATATCACTAATTTGAAACGGAAAACCTTCAAAAAGAAAATGTTCCCAAACATGAAGACAGAATGACAAGAGCGAAAGCTAATTAACCTTACAAAAGCGGCAGCCGAAGGGCGAAGCGTCGAAAGGAACGTGCGGCGATAGGCGTCGTTTGTCTCCGAGCCCAGGCACTGAATGAATGGCAGGGTGAGTCCAATATCGAGATGTCAATGGGGACTCGATCCCGGATTCCCCGCGGGGAATTCCCCTATTAGGGGACAGGGATGGGACTAAATTTATCACCACGGGGGACTAAATAGGGGAAAATCATTCCCCGTCGGGTCCGGCAGGGGCGGGTCTGGGAGCCTGTCCCCTGTCCCCGTTAACCCGCGTCCCCGCTTCCTCACCTGCTCATCACAGCCTCCAACTCATTCCCTCGGCCCATCAGCCCAACAAAGCCCACGTAAGAATGCAACATATATATAGAAAAACCTAGCTCCTTTCTCCTACTCTGCCTCCCTGCTCGCCGCACTCCCTCTCGCTCTCATAGTCTCGCACTCCCTCCACCTCTCATCGGCCGAGCAACGGCCGGCCCCCGGCGGCGTGGCCGCTCCAACAAGGGAGAGGGCGGGTGACCCAGTGCCGCGGCTGCCCCACCACGTTCAATCCTGTGCGCGTCGGCTTGAACCACTGGCCCCTGCTCCTCTCTTCTCCGCCTGCGGCTCCACCTGGTTCCTGGCCCTGACAGCGCCCGTCGCCTCTTCCTCTTTGTCAGCGGCGGCGCTCAGTGGTGGTTGCCCCTGGACGCGGTGCATCGCCTCTTCCCCTCCGTCAGCGACGGCGGCTCAGCTGGCCAGCCGGATCTCGCGGTACCTCACCCTCTTCTCCGTTTTGTTCCTGCTCCCCCAGATCCTCCATCCCCCCGTCTTCTCCGTCTCGCTGGATTTTGTGACGGGGACGGGGATGGGTGAGGAACTTCCCCCGTTGGCATTCACGGGGATGGGGATGGGGATGGGGAAATTTTTGCCCCACGGGGACGGGGATGGGAAGCTGTCCCCCGACGGGGAATTCCCGTTGACATCTTGAGTCCAATACCTCTCACCCTGCCCCTTTTTATAGCCCCGCAGCAGGTGCCTCTGTGCACACCGATCGAGAACCGAACGGTCGTGTCGGTTCACCTGAGGCAGCGCATGCGCCCCAACGCAAGAGGCGAAGTAGTGTAAAATAAATAAATAAATAATAAAAATATGTATATACATATAATAATAATAAATAATAATAACAATATGCAACGACGAACTAAGCCCAGCCAAGGCGAACCCCAGCGCCAAGCCTAAACGCCGGAGCACGTTTTGATGTTTCCCCCTTCGAGGGGATGGTGTCGGGCAGACATGATCGACGGCGCCACTGACGACATGCCGTCGGCACAACACCGAGGGCTACTGTTAGGGGAAGGATGGGCTGTTGCCACCCCAGGTAGCCCTCCGCCGTCATTACCGCTTCGTACAGACGAAATGGTGTGGCCCTCCAAGCCGTCGTTTCGCGCACGCGAAATGAGGCGGCTGTCTACGTTGCCGGTTCAGACAGACTCCCCCCGCATCATTTCGCACGAGAGTAACGGCGGGCGCCGTTACGCCGCGCTCCGGCTAGGCTCGGATTAGCGCGCTCGGCCTTTTCATGCCGCCGAAGTGGCCGAGCCTACTTTCACTGATGGGGTGAGGCAGTTTTCCGTTGAGCCGGTGGTTCTTGGCAGTTGTGTTCGTAGGTGAGCGGAATTGTCTTCGCACTGGCTGAACCTCGCCACGGGGTGAGGGGGAGGAGCGAAATGCCCCCCGCTCTCGCCCTAGGGAGGCTCGCCCTAGGGAGGTTCGGAGGCGCCGCGTCTTAGGACACTTCGACCGTGGGGCCCCCAAGCATGGAAGCCCGTTGTCGGCCTGGGGCCAGGGGCGGCGCCCCTGGGCAAGGCGGAGGCGGCTGAAGGACGGAGGAGCCCAGGCGGGCCAGGAATATGCCTGGAATCTGTGGTAGTAGTAGGGACATTTTGGTCTAGCAAAAGCCTACGGGCGTGTATAAATAAGAGCCCGCGTTGAACAGGACATGAGCATATGAAATGGAATAGTAATCTGAAGCTTGTGTTCGTTTTTTCCCCACATTATTTTCCCCACTTGGGTCATTCCCCTCATCTTTGTCTCCTATTCGAAACCCAGGTGTTCTGTGGCTAAGGCTCAGAATAACAATTATTTTTTTTGAACAAGTTCAGTCAATTATTGTAGAAAGAAGAAAACGAGTTAAATGCACCAGAGGTCCATTAACTTGTGAGGAGGTTTCGGTTAGGTCCATCAACTTCTAAAGTGGCTTTTTGGGTCCATAAACTTTGTATGCCGTATCACTTAGGTCCATATCCCGCCACGCGGGCTTCTCATGCTGACGTGGCCTACTGACATGTCCTTCTGAAGCAGCTCTTGGCAATGCATTTTGTCAAACAGCTTGTGGGTGACGGCGACAGCGTCCCCGACGCGCCTCGCGCGCGCCGTTCGACTTGGCCTCCAGCAGGCGCACCAGGAGCACGGACGCCGCGTGGCCGACGAGCTCCGTGAGGTGGAGCACGATGAGCGACATGGGCGAGTCGCGGGAGGAGCCCGACACCTCCAGTAGGTCGATCAGCGGCGCCGTGTGGTCCTCGCTGTAGAGGCGGTGAGCACACGGAGGTCGACGCCGAGCCGCGCGTGCTCGGCGACCGCCGCCGCTTCGCTGCTGAATCGCCTGCCACGACGAGTAGTGCTCCACCGTCGCCTTCATGGTGTCGCCCGATTGTTGATGGCGGCCACCTCCACGATGCCCCGGATGTTGAGCATGAGCGCCAAAGACGATGGCGCCCCGGAATGGCATGGCGAAGAAGAGCCCAGCGGCAACGCGGCACCGACGAGCTTGCCCGACACGTAGAGCGCCACGAACAGCTCCAACGCGCACCACTTCTCCGGACGCCTCGGACTGGTGAACTCGGTGAGGTCGGTGCGGTAGGCGGAGAGCGCCATGTAGACGGGCGGGAAGAGCGCGATGAAGAAGGAGTCGAGGTGCTCCGTCATGGTGGCGCCGATGGGCTGCCGCCGGGAGCGCCCACAAAGCATCATGGGCCCGATCATGTACTCGAACCCGATGGCGTCCGTCACCGGTGACAAAGCGGAAGCGGCGATGACCACCACCACGAAGGAGCCCGAGAGGAGCGCCCCATTGGCGGGTCACGCTTATGTACGCGATGTACCAACCGGCCGGGGTCGCGCGACGAAGCCGACAAAGAGCACGAACGCAACGGCGAAGCCGGGATCTTGGCCGTCAAGGCGGCGACTGGCATCACCGATGCGAGGATGACCGCGGCGGTGCGGTAGCGGATGAACCACGAGGTGGCGTCGGTGATGAGCCACGAGAAGGTGGCTTGGTACATGTCCCTGGTCGCGCAGAACAGAACGACGCTGGCCACGGCCGAGCTCCCCAGCAGCCCTCGCGGCGTTGTTCTTGGTGTCGACGGCGAGAGCAGTTCGCTGCGGCGGCGTGCTCAGCGGGCGTGCACCGCGACGTGGGCGTCTGCAGCAGCTTATCGCCTTCGACGCGATGGGCGGCGTCTGGCGTGGGCGTGGCCACGCGCCGCCAAAGTGAGTCTAGGTATAGCAGCCGCGATGCGTCACGCGACGCTGGTCCGCCAGAACCCCGCCCACGACGGTGCCGCCGGCCCCGGGCCAATGGCGGAGAGGACGGATCGAACGCGCGCGACACTGCAGCGTGTTCCCGGCGTCCGGCAGCGTTGCGGGGCACGACGAGCTCGAGCTCGAGTGCGACGCGGCCGCGCCGCCCGCGACCACCACCAGCAGAAGCACCGACAGCATCCTAGCACCGCGCAGGTCGAGGCCACGACCGGACCTCCATGGCGTCCAGCGCCCGCAGCTGGAGCTCCATGGCGTCGAGCAGCTTCGTGGGGAGGGCGGGCATCGAGGCCGCGACCGGACCTCCACAGCGTCCAACGGCCGCAGCCGGAGCTCCGTCGGGTGCCGTGGCCATGGCCAGGCAGCTGATGGTCCCGTACGTGCTATGGATAACCACATTCTCCTCCGGCAGCGTCACCTGCATGTCGTCGAACAGCAGCGTCACGGGCGGCCACGCCACGGCGGTGGTGTTGAAGCACGTGTCGAACCCTCCCAGCGAGGACACGGGCGCGCCGACGCGGCGCCGGACCCCTGCTGAGGCTGGGCGCAATGCGCTCGCTGGCCGGGAAGCTGGACCTCAACCTCAGGGACTGCTCTCTGGCGGCCCCGGCTGAGATAGCGTCGGCTGCGGGCGCACAGACGGACGTGCGGGAGCTGCATGCCAGGCTACAGATTGGGCACGCAGAGGCGAAGCACCGGGCCATGGATGGCCTGCTCGATGCTCTGCGCGAGGACGAGAAGAGTGTGCTGTCAGCGCTCGGCCGTGGCAACGTGGCCGCGCTGGTGCAGCTGCTCACGGCGGCGGTACCCAAGGTTAGGGAGAAGGCGGCCACTGTTTTGTGCCTCCTCGCCGAGTCTGGCAGCTGCGAGGGGTTACTCATGTCAGAAGGCGCTCTGCCGCCGTTCATCCGGCTGGCTGAGTCTGGCAGCCTTGTTGGGCGGGAGAAGGCTGTCATCACGCTCCAGCGGCCCTCCATGTCGGCCGACATTGCCCGTGCAATCGTCGGCCCCAGCGGCGTCCGCGCTCTCATCGACATGTGCCAGACCGGGGACTCAATCACACAGTCTGCCGCGGCAGGAGCGCTCAAGAACATCTCTGTAGTGCCGGAGGTCCGGCAAGCGCTGGCCGAGGAAGGCGTCGTGCGAGTCATGATCAACCTGCTCGACTCCGGCGTCGTTCTCGGCTCCAAGGAGTATGCCGCGGAGTGCCTGCAGAACCTTACGTCAAGCAACGACAGCCTACGGCGTGCCGTCGTGTCCAAGGGCGGCCTCCGGAGCCTGCTCGCCTACCTCGACGGTCCACTTCCTTAGGAGTCACCCGTGGCCGCGCTCCGGAACCTGGTCACCGTTGTCTCACCAGACAGCCTAGTGTCGCTTTGCGTGCTCCCGCGCCTCGTCCACGTGCTCCGTGACGGTTCCGTGGGTGCTCAGCAGGCTGCCACGGCGACCATCTGCAAGATCTGCAGCAGCATGGACATGAAGCGGCTGGTGGGCGAGCACGGGTGCATCCCGCTCCTGGTGCGCCTGCTGGAGGCCAAGTCGAACGGCGCGCGCAAGGCACGCCGAGGACGCTGTCGCCGTTGCCCACAAGCTGTTTGACAAAATGCATTGTCAAGAGCTGCTTCAGAAGGACATGTCAGCAGGCCACGTTAGCATGAGAAGCCCACGTGGCGGGATATGGACCTAAGTGATACGGCATACAAAGTTTATGGACCCAAAAAACCACTTTGAAAGTTGATAAACCTAACCAAAACATACTCACAAGTTAATGGACCTCTGGTGCATTTAACTCAAGAAAAACACACCAGCCCGACTGAACTTCGGATCCATCGAAATGGCTCTGTTAGAGCCTCAGCACAAGCCTCGAGCAAGTATATGTGAATAGCACTCTGCTAATTCATCCCGGGCCCAAAATAAATCACACGTTCAAACAGCAGTATGTTGTTTGTTAAAGGAAAACCCAAAATACAAGGGATTGAGAGAACGGTCATCAGCTCAGCATAGTAGGACAAAATTCTGCTCGTCAAAAATCCAAAGATATGTGGAATTAAAGCATAACTTTTGCAGAAAGAAACGACCGGCACCTTCAGCATCCGTGTTCATTATTACAGCATATTGAGCCGGTAAGACAAGAAGCATCTGGTCTCCTAATAACAACTCAACAAGCCCAAACCGTACTACCACAAGCGATGCTGCAGATTCATCAGAACCAACAGCAATCAGTGATAATTCTCCAGCAGCTGGATCCATGTCGTAACCATGCTGGAGAACACCATCGACACCACCCGTGTGGGTCTGACTATGAGTGGCTCTTGCCACACAAATCCTGCGCACACAGCAACAGTCCATGCGTGCTACGCCTGTCAAAAAATTATTGTTAACTGAAACATGCTAGTATTGATGTTAACTTTTTTTTTTCGCGAAACAGAAACTTTATTAAAAATCAAGTAGTATCATTACAGACTCGAGATAAAACAAACTCAGGAAAAGAAGCAAAAAAGACTTTACTATGACCCGACCTAATTGCAAAATGAGCAAACTCATGCGCTATATTATTCTGACTCCTACTAATCTTAGCAATCTCCAAACGGCACAACTCCATATTCGTCCGCGCTTCTCGACCAAGGAACCAGCCCACCGATCGGTCCATCACATTGCTTTTCAGTTTCGCAGCCATCACCGCAGAATCAGTCTCCAGCACCATGGGAACATCCGGCCACCGCGCAGCAAGGGCGATCCCTTCACAACAGGCAACAGCTTCAGCCTCCTCAGCATCCCTGCAACAACGGAGCAAGCGCCACGATGCCAATTTTACCTAGCCATTATGATCCCTAATCGCCACTCCCACAGCTGCAGTACCCGAACTGGAGATGAAAGCTCCATCAACGTTAATCTTCATCATACCCGGTGGAGGTGGAACCCATTTTTTCTGGACATGCAGAGCCACTTCTGCTGACCGCCTACTCCCCACCAGCGCACATTGTTTCCCCTTGCTATCAGGCTGCAGAGTGCTATGCCGATACTGCACAAGAGAGTCCATATATCGTGTCAGAAAAACAACAGAACCCTCCATTGAGATCTTCTGCTCAGCACGCAAGACACTATTACGCTCACTCCATGTTCGCCAAAGCAGCATACCGAAAATTTACTCATGAGCACTAGCAACCAGTCCGGTCCAGTGTGCCGGTAGCGCCCAATGATGTCTCATAGCATGGCGCAAGGCAACCGCATGGGGACACTGTATGCAGCATGGAAGCAGTCCTCTCTCCAGTGGCCACACATCTCACAAGTCGCCTGAGAAGCAATATGACGATACCACTTGTTAGCTTGAGTCGGAATTCGATTGTTAGCGACTTTCCACGCGAAAACTTTGACCTTTTCAGGAACTTTCACAAACCACAGGGCCTTCCAAACTTTCCTATGATCAGCTGCAGTATTGCTGCTACCAATCTCTCCTTCACCGTGCTCACTTCTCATGGCCAGCCGATATGCACTTCTCACAGAAAAAATACCAGACTTCTCAAAACTCCAGGCCACATGATCCGAGCAGGTGTTATGAGGAAGTTTAATCTTCAGGATCTCCTCAACATCACAGGCATAGAAGTACCGTCTCACAAGCGTTTCATCCCATGATCTGGACTGAGAATCAATCAAATGAGAGACCCATCTTAATCTGCAGTGTCGGACACTCCCGACCGGTTTCAAGCCATGTGGTCTGGGAAGCCAATTATCGCGCCAAATTCAAATGCTCTTCCCATCACCCACACGATATATCATTCTGTTAGTCGCTGAATTCTCACTCTTGGTAGTAGGAGAATTCTTACTCTCATCAAGAGAGGATGACACTAGGAGTTGGGGCAATTTTCTTGTCTATTTCTCACACAAGCTCACACAAATGCCATACCAACCTGAGGGGTTGGGGTTACATATTTATAGGCTGCTAGCCAGCCAAGCATATGCCAAGATGCTAGTCTAAGATGCTAATATGCTGTCCTAGCTAAGATGCTGTCCTCTAGTCTAAGATGCTGTCCTCTAAGATGCTGTCCTCTAGTCTAAGATGTTGTCCTAAAAACAGAAAAACAGCCACAAGGACCATGTGAGCAACAACAGCCCCACAAAGACCAGCCACACATGACTTATCCATCATTCTCCCCCTAAGTCTTGTGCGTCGTCTTGTGGGAGAGTTGAACCATCCCGGTCCTGGAGCAGAGCTCAAGGAACTTGATCCTCCCAAGGGGCTTGGTGAGCAGGTCCGTAAGCTGATCCTTGGTGTTGATGTAGTTCGCCTTGATGCTCCCTTCCTCCAAACAGCCTCGGATGAAGTGGTACCTCACCCGGATGTGCTTGCTGCGTTCGTGGAACACGGGGTTCTTTGCCAGGGCCAGAGCGGACTTGCTGTCCACCCTGAGCTCCACCGCTCTAGTGTCTCTGCCGAGGAGATCACCAAGCAGTCGAGCGAGTCAGAGCGCCTGAGTCGAAGTGGTGGAGGCCGCTATGTACTCGGCCTCGCAGCTGGACAGGGCCACCACCTGCTGCTTGACCGATCGCCCACTAACGAGGCACTTGCCGAGGAAGAAGAGGATCCCGCGTGCTCTTCTTTGGTGTCGATGTCGCCGGGCGTGGTCATTTGTTTGCACCCGACGAAGTGTGCCGCCCTAGGACACCTCGGGTAGTAGAGGCCGTGGTCGAGAGTCCCGCAACGTAGCGGATGATCCTCTTCACGACTTCTTTGGTGCTCGTCGTCGGTCATTGCATGAACCGACTAACGAGCCGACGGAGAATGCCAAGTCCCGCCGTGTGTGGGCGAGGTAGCGAAGGCTCCCCACAAGGCGCGCGATCGTGTAGCGCCCACCTCCTCCGTCGTCTTTGTCATGGCTCGACTGACCAGCCTCTCCTCCATCGGAGTGAGAGCTAGGTTGCGGTCGGTGAGCCCAACTGCTAGCTCAACGACGCGCTTTGGCGAGGGCGGTCCGTCAAGCGTGATCCCGAGTCATCCCTGGTGCACCTCGATTCCCGTGTAGAAGGAGAGAGGCCCTAGGTCACTCATCTGGAAGGTGGCCTTCATCTCTTCCTTGAATGCCGCCACCTCCGCATCCTTGGTGTCGGTGATCACCAAGTCGTCGACGTAGACACCCACCAGCAGGGCATTTCCTCCATTGCCCCGTCGGTAGATGGCCGCCTCATGCGGGCTTTGCTCGAAGCCCATCCCCTTTAGCGTGGAATCCAACTTGGCATTCCACGCCCTCGGTGCCTGCCGCAAGCCATAGAGGGCCTTCTTGCGCAAGTGAGCACCTGCCCTCCTTGCCGGGGATCGCAAATCCCGGTGGTGGTGCACGAGACCTCCTCCTTCAAGTCACCGTTAAGGAACGCCGACTTGACGTCCATGTGGCGAACACGCCAGCCCTCCTCGGCAGCTAGCGCAAGGAGGAGTCGCACGGACTCCATCCGTGCCACGAGAGCAAAAGCGTCGTCGAAGTCGACCCCCTCCTGCTGCACGAAACCTCGTGCCACCAAGCGAGCCTTGTGCTTGACGATGGCGCCGGCTTCATCCCTCTTCAACTTGTACACCCACTTAAGGGTGATCGCGCGGTGACCACGAGGAAGGTCAGCAAGCTCCCAGGTGCGGTTCTTCTCAACCGCATCCATCTCCAATCGCATCGCGGCGGCGCGCATGCATGCGCGTCTCTCTAAACCTCGCAACGACCGAGGCTCGCGCCGTCACACGCAAGGTGCAATCGCGCCTGTGTCGTCGTGAGGCACCGGTCCCGGCACCGGCTGGTCGCCGAGAAGGTTCTCCACCGTACGGTACCACAACGGCTCACCGCCGTGGTACGCGTCAACGCGCTCCTCGTCGTGAGAGAGCGGAGTAGCGAGCTCAACCGGGCCGTGCTCGACACGAGCTGGTGGTGGAGTAGACGTGCCCGGAGTGGTGCCTGTCGGTGCTGGAGTGCGTGGCGTTGCCGGCCGTGGTGCGGCCGGCGAAGAGCTCATCGCGGCCGAGGTCTGGCCGAGAGCGTGGTCTTTGTCGAGTGGCGAGTCTTTGGGGGTCGGTGGAGGCTCGGAGACTAGGGTAGACGCGCTCACCGAAGAAGAACTACCTACTCCCCCAGCTCCCTCGAAGTGGACGTACTCGATAGTGAAGTCGCCGTGACGCCGGAGCCGAGCCGCCGCCCATCGCCTTGTCCCACGCCCATCTCGCGCTTTCGTCGAACACAACGTTGCGCGCCGTGCGCACACGCTGTGTCTTCGGGTCGAGGATGCGGTAGGCCTTCGAGCCCTCCGCGTAGCCGATGAACACTCCCGGAGTGCTCCTATCGTCGAGCTTGCTAATGTGGCCAAGCTCCTTGGCGAATGCGAGGCAGCCGAAGACCCGCAAGTGGGAGACCGCCGGCTTGAGCCCATGCCAAGCCTCGTACGGCGTCCTGCCGTCGAGCGCCTTGGTAGGCGAGCGGTTGAGGATGTAGACGGCCGTCACCACCGCCTCTCCCCAGAAGATAGCCGGCATCCCCCTCTGCTTGAGGAGGACCCGAGCCATCCCCACAACCGTCTGGTTGCGCCGCTCGACGACACCGTTCTGCTGCGGGCTGTACGGCGTGGAGTAGTGGCGCTGAATGCCCTCGTCAGCGCAGTACGACGTGAATTCAGCCGCCGTGAATTCGCCGCCGTTGTCGGTGCGCAGCACGCGCAGCTTGCGGCCACACTCCGCCTCCGCAGCAGCTTGCGCGCGCCTGATGGCGTCCGCAGCCTCTCTCTTGCTGCCGAGGACCATCACCCACATGTAGCGGGAGAGGTCATCGACGAGCAGCAGGAAGTAGCGTCGTCCTCCCGGTGTAGCCGGTGTCACCGGGCCACACAAGTCCCCGTGCACAAGCTCGAGCCTCTCCTTGGCTCGAAAGCTCGCCCGCTGGGGAAAGGGGAGTCGCCTCTGCTTCGTCAACACGCAGACGTCGCAGAGCTGCTCCACATGGTCGAGGCACGGCAGGCCTCGCACCATCTCCGTGGCACTGAGCCGCTTCAGGGCCTCAAAGTGAAGGTGCCCGAACGCTGCGTTATCGCCACGCCGCCGCCTCGTCGTCCCGAGCGAAAGCAGACAGACAGGGTTGTGCCACCGCACGTTAAGAACGTAGAGTCGACGGCGCTTCGGATACCTTGGCAAGAAGGCGACGACGACGATCCCAAATCCTCATGACTCCGTCCTCAACCACCACGCATGAACCATTCTCATCCAGCTGTCCCAAGCTGATGATGGAGTTCCTCAACGCGGGGATGTAGTACACTCCGGTGAGCAGCCTGTGCTCACCAGACACGGTGGTGAAGATGACGGAGCCGACGCCCTTGATCTCCACGCTGGAGGCATCCCCAAACTTGACGGAGCCTCGAACGCTAGAGTCAAGCTCGGTGAAGAACTCCCGTCGACCGGTCATGTGATGGGTGGCGCCGGTGTCGAGGCACCACCCGTCAGTCTTGTCGTTGCCGGAGCTGTCGCCGAGGAGGGCGTGTGCTTTTGGCTCGTCGCGGTGGAGGAGAGCCGCTGCGGCCGGTGCCGCTGGAGGTAGCTCGATGCTGGCATGTGCCATGAACAGAGCCGGCTCCTCCTCCTCCGCCTGTGCGACGTGGGCTGGCAGCGCGTGGGTTGCCGACGATCCTTGGCCCAATGGCCAAAAGCTGGCCACTGATTGCGGCAGTGTCGTCTCGTCGTGCCGGCTTAGGCTCGCCGGGCGGCGCCGCCTGGCGCCTCGCTGGCATCACCCTCGCACGTCCTCGCGCCCCGGCCTGGGCGTCTCTGCGCACCTTGCGCGGCTTGCCACGCTTGCGGCCGCCTGTCGCGGAAGAAGGCTCCCCCTTCCTCCGGTCACCCTGGCTGGCAAGCCACTGCTCCCGAGTGAGAAGGAGCTTCCCGCCAGTGGTGATGGGCCCCGAGAGGGACTGTGGCTCATCACTGTCGACGACCTTGAGGCGACCTATCACCTCCTCGATCGACATCGTGGAGAGATCCAGCAGCGACTCGATCGAGCGAGCCATCTGCTTGTACTTCTCGGGGACGCAGCGAAAGAGCTTTTCGACAGCTCTCTCCTCGCCGTAGGTGTCGTCGCCGAACTGCACCATCTTCTGCAACAGAGTGTTGAGACGGAGAGCAAAGTCATCAACGTCCTCACCTGGCTTGAAGGCCAGGTTCTCCCACTCCTTGCGAAGTGCCTGCAGCGTGGACTTGCGAGCGCGGTCGCTGCCGATGCGTGCCGCAGCGATGGCGTCCCAAGCCTCCTTGGCAGTCCGCTTGCTGGTAAGCGAGAACTGCATCTCGGGCGGGACTGCAGCGATGAGAGCATCCAGCGCCCGTCGATCTAGGTCGTAGTCGACGTCGCCATACCGGACTGCCTCCCACATGTGCCGCACCTGGAGCTTTACCCTCATCACCGCAGCCCACTCGACGTAGTTGGTCTTGGTGAGGGTAGGCCACCCACCGCCGGGACCGACGCCCCGACAACGTGACTTTTGGAGCCCGTGGTAACCACGGTACCGATCCGGAGAGAGAGAGCCACGCTGCCTGTGAAGGCCGCGCTCTCCATCAACCCGTCGGTACCGATCCGGGGAGAGAGAGCCACGCGCGCTGGAAGGCCGCGCTCTCCATCGACCCTTCCGCCACCGCTGCGTCGCGGCGCGCCTCCTCCAGAGCGTCGCCGCGCGCGCGCGCTCCTCCAGAGCGCACACGGCGCGTCCGCCGCTCTGTGCGGCTGCCCGCGCGCTGCGTGGGCGTCTTGGGCTGCCCCAGAGCGCCACCGCCGCGCGCGCGCCTCTCAGAGCGCCGCCCGGCCCGTCCGCGCTGTGCAGGCTGCCGCCACGCTCAGGACGCGTCGCGGCTGCCTTCGCGCGCCGCGCAGGCTCGCCGCCGCCTCCCTCTCTAGCAGCTCGAGGTCCGCGTCGGCGGTGTCGTCAGCGGAAATGGAGCTGCCGATGCTGCCGCGCAGAGCCTCGACCTCCGCCGCCGCCGCACGCGCTGCATTCGCCGCCGCCGCCGCTTCCGCCTCCGCTCTGGCTGCTGCCAGCTCCACCGCTGCCAACCTCGACGCCCTTGCCGCCGCCGCAGCGGTCTCTGCCGCCGCTCGCTCGCGTTCCTCTGCTGCGGCAAGTTTGGCCTCCTGCCGACGCCGCGTGCTCGAGGCGACCGAGCGCTGAGACTGCCCTGCGGACATGACGCGCTACCGGGGGGCTGCTGCGTGGGGAGAGGGCTGCTTCAGACGAGCTAGGAGAGGAGTGAACATGAGCGGCCGGAGCTGCTGCTACTCTCATTTGGGGTCATATGAGGTGGAGCAAGGGATGAGCAGGAGATGCTCAGGCTATAAGGATACTACGGCTCGATACCACTTGTTAGTCGCTGAATTCTCACTCTTGGTAGTAGGAGAATTCTTACTCTCATCGAGAGAGGATGACACTAGGAGTTGGGGCAATTTTCTTGTCTATTTCTCACACAAGCTCACACAAATGCCATACCAACCTGAGGGGTTGGGGTTACATATTTATAGGTGCTAGCCACCCAAGCATATGCCAAGATGCTAGTCTAAGATGCTAGTCTAAGATGCTAATATCTTTGTCCTAGCTAAGATGATGTCCTCTAGTCTAAGATGTTGTCCTCTAAGATCTTTGTCCTCTAGTCTAAGATGTGTCTAAAAAATGTAAAAATGTACCACAAGGACCATGTGAACAACAACACCCCCACAAAGACCGGCCACACATGACTTATCCATCACATTCCCTGTTTTAGTAGGGCCAAGCCATGCTCGACTCCCGGCCTGCCACGATGGTGAGGTATCTCCTGCAGTAACCGTGTCCGGTAAATTTCCCCTCGGGTAATACTTGGCCTTCAGAACCCTCGCACACAAGCTGTCAGGATAAAACACCAAACGCCAGGCCTGCCGTGCTAACAGAGCTTGATTCACCAGCCGAAGATCCCTAAAACCCATTTCCCCAAAACCTTTTGGCATGATCATTCTTTCCCACGGCACCCATTGGACCTTCCTGCGGCCATTTTCCGAACCCCACCAGTAGACTCTTGAGAGTCTAGACTCTTATATGCTTCATCAAGTCATCGCAGAGGGTAACAGGCAGCTTGAACACGCTCATAAATAAACATGGTATAGGAGTAGTACATAAATAAACGTGGGTAGCTAGGAAACGATACCTATAAATGACATACCAAAGTACTAATAATATTAATTAGATATGATATGTATAACAGCTGGCGCAAACATATAAGGTAAAAAGACTCTGTAGTCTATACCTGGCCTTGACCTATAAATCAGACACTGCTACTACTCTGACTATTCCCGTCCTCTTCTTCCGGGGGCTCATCAAATTTATAATACTTCATGGGGTTTGATCTGATGCTGGATACAGGGTGACCTGGGTGCAGGCGAGCCACGTCCCTCAGCGCAGACACTGCAGCCCTTCTATTGGATCCCTTTGCATGTAGACCCCCAATGTCTCCGATGATTTCCTTGAGGCCTGATAGGTGCTCGATGCCAGCAGGCACGCCACCATACCTGCCCCATCTGTGTGCATTGAAACGTAGCTCGAGCCTTTCAATCTTCGGCATCGCCCCTGCCTCGAAGGTCAGGTACGATATCCTGATACAGCCAACTGTAAAATGCTTGAGAACAGGGAATCCTCTTCCACAGATGATGATCTTGTCTTTAGGAGTCCCGTGGATGTGCAAGTGGAGGCAGACAAGGGAGGGCAATTGTGAGAGCATCCCAAGGTCATCCTCATACACATCCTGAACATTAAGCTGCAGGTCATAGAGGCTATGGTGCTGGCCAATCCATCCAGGAACCCTCGAGAACCAGGGAAAGAACTTTGCATGGAAGCTCTGGAGATGAATGAAAGAAGCCGGGACTGGACACCGTACATCATCTAAGCAGGCACTGACAGGTAGGTCAAAATTAGTACGAATAAGTAGATATTTGAGGCTACAAATGTTTCCAAGGGCGTGCACAAGTTCCCTACATCTTGCAGCAAACTCGTCACTGGTGGGTGGGTCGTACTTATAACATATTTCAAGATTTGTCAGATTGGTCAGTTCCCTCAGACCCTTGATACTGTCTAGCGAGTTTCTCAAATCAAAGCAACGTAGAGTACGCAATGATTTCATGTTACTGACCCCATTGGGCAATATTACATTGCTTGGAACAATCAGATGCGATAAACGGCTCAAATGAACAATATCTGATGGTAGCTGCAGATCTGATTGTCCTTTAGATGCTGCAGCATCTATTTCAAATGTTTTCAGTTGCTGCAGTCGTCCAATTTTACTTGGTAACACCACATGACGACCACTTGCTATGATCTTTAAGAATTCCAGCTGAAACAAATGACATATTCCATTCAAGTCCAGTAGTTCAGATGAAAAGGGCCCATATGAAATTTCAATCGTCAGAACACGGAGATGCTTGAACTGTAAAATAGGAGGTAGATATAAAGAGGTACCAAATCTTGCTAGCATTCGTGTTTGGGATAGCTGGAAGGATCTTCCTACTCTTTCATCTATTGCACCATCCAAACTGAGTGAGAGTCGACGGATCTTGTTGTGTTGTCTTGTCAAATCTTGTATGCCATCTATTACAGTGATAAAATTATCTTCTCTGGATTTATGTAGGATAAGATCAAGCATCATGTCATGAACCCTGCAAGACGTTACCTCACCATTATATTCTGTGTCTATGGGCTGAATCAAACTCCTATTGATGAGTTCATTAAAATAGCTCTTTGCAATATCCTCTGGATCTGTCCCACGAGCTTCACATATAAAACCTTCACTTACCCACTGTCTAACCAAATCATTCTTATTGATTGTGTAGTCCTCTGGATAAATGCCTAGATATAGCATACAAGTCTTCAAATAATGAGGAAGGTTTATGTAGCTGAGGTTTAATATTTGTCTCATGCCATCCAAGCTTGGGCTCACTTCAAAGTTTGACCCTAGAGAGTTTTTCACATACTCCCACCGGTCCTTCAGTTTATTTTGCTCATTGGCTAAAAGGCTAGATATTGTGATAATTGCAAGAGGTAAGCCACCACATCTTATTAAAATTTCTGCTGAAACTTCTTTCAAATAAGGAGGGCAAGCATCCTCCGAACCAAAAATTCTTTTGAAGAATAACCTTCTTGAGCCTTGTTCATTAAGTGGCCTCATCTTATAAACATATTCAGAGCGATTAGTGCAGCATGCTCTAGCGACGGTCTCAATTCGTGTAGTCGTGATTACTCTGCTACCATTCATACCCTCTGGAAGACCACATCTTATCATATCCCATGAAGGAGCATCCCATATGTCATCAATTACAATGAAGTACCTGACATGTAAATACAACAATAATTAGCACAATGTATGTGAAAATATATTCACTAAATGTTAAAACATCGACAAGAAAACTCAATCAATCAAACTTCAAATTTTGTTATACTACTGGGGCTAAAACTTCAAAACAACCCCTATGGTGCTGAAGTTCAACAAAATGGTAGCTCATGGGCCATGCTGTTTCATGAGGACACTTTTTTTCAATACTGAATCTTACTTAGGTACTAATGAGATCTGCAATTCTAGTTTCACAAACATGACTGCAGAATAGAAATCAAAAGACATTCAACATCTTCAGATAATAGTTGTAAAACTTTGTTTACTGGGTTTCTCTGACTTTTGCAAATGTTAATAAATGTTTCATAGGTTATGACACTACTACATAAATGATTTTGCAAGACACTACCCAATCATTAACGGAGGCGGTCACAAAATTCAACCATTTCCTAAAATACTTGAGGATTTTTCGAGGCGGACATTTTATTTACAGAGGTGGTTAGGAAATGCCCATTTCCCAAAATTGATTTATGAAGACGGTAAAAAATGTCCACCACCAAAATAGATTTACGGAGGCGAACCTCTTAATACGTCTGCCTCTAAAAATAGGTCTAATTTAAGAGACGGACACATTAAGAGGGCACCCCTATAAATCCATTTACGGAGGTGGACATTTATAACGCATACGCCCTGTCAGGCCCAGCCCACTACCATTTCAGGTATATAAACAAGCATTGAAACCCTAACCCCTCACGTGCTTCCCTCAGCTCCCGAGCGGCGCCCCTTCCCCTCCCCACCACCGAGCGAAGCGGATCCGCGCCCCTTCCTCCCAATCCCCACCACCAAGTGGATCCAGCGAGCGGCGGTGCGGCGACGCCCCTTCCCCGGTGAGCGGCAGCACCCCTTCCCCACCCCCGAGCGGTGGATCCGACGGGGCAGCGGCCCTTCCCCACCCCCCGAGAGGTGGATCCGGCACGGCGGCGCGACTTTTCCATCCCCCGAGCGACGGCGCGGCCTCGAGCGGCGGCAGATCGGGCTCGGGGCTGGGAGTGGGCTCACCAGTGGGCTTGGGAATGAGCTCACCGGCAGGTTCGTGAGTTTTTTTGTTTTATTTATCAATTAAGTGGTTCCTATATTTGCAAGTGGGCAGGGAGTCTGCCTGCGTTGTTGTTGATTAACCCAGGCGTTTTGGCCCCGGCGGACGGAATGCCCGCCTGCAGAAACCAATTTTGACCGCATGCAGAAATATATAATGTAGCAGTGTCATGAAATACATTGAACAATAAATCATTACTCGATGTGTGTGAGTGCTAGTTAATTATTATATACTGAAATCTGTAGGATCGTTCTAAGGAAACAACATGGATGTCACGACCTAGTTAACCAAACGCGGCGAACAAGGTATAAAGAAGAAAAAACAGACACATAAAAATTTCATATGTAGGACACTCTAGCAAGCTAAAACTGAATAGCTCCAAAAGCATGAAAAGTTACTTAGCATTTATTTTCTTTGCTGGCATACCTCTTATCCAAAAGAAAATTTTGCAGTGTCCTAATCAATTCGGACTCTTCCCACATTTCCATGTTGGTGTTCATAGGAGGTTCAAAGCCAACTTGAGATAGTATAGTCCTTAGTACCTTCCTAATATTTGGTTTTTGTGACACAGAAATAAAAGCTCGACACAGGAACAAGCCCTCTTGCTTGCGATAAATCGTATTTGCAAGGGTAGTTTTTCCAAGACCTCCAAATCCGACAATAGAGAGCACCTTTAGCTGAGGTGAAGGCACATTGTCTTGGTCCATCAATTTTATAAGCTGGTCCCTCGGCTCCTTGATACCAACAAGGCTGGTTGACTCTGCATGGAGTGCCAACACACGAGAATCGACGACTGTGTTGTTTGGCTTGGAAACAGCTTCTTCGACCTTGTACCTCTTGCGTCGCTCGTTCACCTCCATGACACGACTCCTGAGGCCTTCCAGCTCTTTGGCAATCTGATGCCGAGTGTTCATGGCTGTCAACAGGCTCATGCATCTATCCATGAACCCCTTGAATCCATGTGGTATGCTGTTGTACTTGTGCCCGACACGGTGTAGGAAGTCACTGATACTATCATCCATGTCGTAGGAGAGTTCACGTACCTCCTTCACCCAGCACTTGTCTTGCTCGTCAGGCTCTTCCATGTCTGACATCTTCTTCAGGAACGCGTGCATGCTCTCGAGCTCAGCTTTAAGGAACATGATCTGTCCTTTAGCTTCTTTGAGCAGCTTGTACTCTGCTGTGAGCAAATCACCAAGCTTCCCTATCAGGGATCCCATAGCACCGTGAGATGCGCTGACCACGGCAGCCTCCATGGAATGCCTGACGCTCTCTGAATCTGGAGTTGGCGATGTAAAGTTTTCTTGATTTCACTCCTAAATCAAACATCAAAATCGATAGGTTCAGACGATCTGTTTCCGTGAATAAAGACTACTAGTTTAGTCTCTGGACTTATAATCAGGATTTATTTTTGACAATCTGCAGTTTCATTTGGAGCAGAAACATAAACAAGAAAAAAAAAAACTGAGAGAAGAGAGCGTGATTCTCTGAGGCCACTCACCACTACAGTACAGCCTCCATTATTGGCTCTGCTTTCTTGGCTCGATCTGTTCTTAGCTAGTTTGACAGTATGCAGCTTCCTATGAAAAACCTTGTAAGCTCAGTCCTCAAGCTGCAAGAAAACCAACAGGGAAAGAGAGGACTGTGGGAGGTTGCACGCTGGCTGCGAGATGTGGAACCACAATGGAAAGATCTAGTATATACGAACTTGAACAAAATATAAAGCAGTTGGAAACCTACGTACCCAGTTTTTTCTGAGAAGAGAAAATTAAGAGTGACGGAGCAGCAGGTCGTTGCCGATTGTGCGCTGCTGCGAGTTGCAACGTGGCAGCCGTCTTCTCCAACGGCGGCGAAACCAGGAGGGAGAGCAGGCCTGGACTCTGGAGCACCAGGTTGAGGGAGGCGAGGGGGAGAGGAGCAGACGCGTGAATGAGGAAGTAAAAGCTGTTGGCTGTGAGGGGGGCCAGTTCAATTATTTTCCTACGATAAAAGAGGCCCTTTTTTCCTTTTCTTTTTCAAAAAGGAAAAAAAATTATCATGGAGATAGTTTACATGAAGGATTGATGAGGAAATGGTGAGTTACCACACGCATAAAAGGTAATCCATGGGAAGCAAAGAACTACATAGGTCTAATGTCTACAACTGGCCCTGTTGAAATTAATTAACCAAACCTTCTAGTCATTAGTGTGCTGCAATAGAGCTCAGAAATTAGGGCCAGTGCCTCCCCTAAATAGTACATTCAAAAAAATTTGTTTTGTCATTGTTGAACACAAAATAGTTCGTATTCAGCCAAATGTTGGATTTTAATTGGGTTAGGCCCATTTTTTATTCAAGTCAATCAAATAGGTCCTAATGCCCATGTTAAATGCTAGGTGCATTAAACTTTTAGTGTTGTATGAGATTTTGACTAAAAGTTGACTACTTAATAGTATATGGATAGATTGTATCTGTGCTTGTCGTGAATTAGAGAGAGGCAAAGGACGTACCACACGCGCAAGCTGCCCGGTGCTGTGCTCTGCACGGGCTTGGGCCACGGTAGGCCAGGCCATGCCACACCATAATGTGATGCGAGGTGGGCTGGGTTTTGCCACTTGGGTTATAAATGGGCAGTTACAAGAGGAATCGGTGTGGTGGTTTCCGTCCCGATGTGCAGTTACAGAGGAATTGATGCGGTAGTTTTTGTGTCTCCACGATTACTCCGTCATGGAAATGTCCTGCTGCATTTCTCCACCTACTCACTTTAGTAGGGGATCGTATTCCTGTGCTAGCGAATATAAAAGGAGATGCACACCGCGGCCTTGCGTGTATGATATAACCATCGCGCCCTCTTTGTGTCTGCTTGTCGAGTACCTGGCAATTAACGGGTTATCTAAACCTCTAGATTAACATCATAGCACTGTGCTGACCGATTCTCCTAAACGCCTACGGGCTTGGGTGGGTGCGCTCGCATGCCCCCACTGGACAACGGGAAAGGCCTGGTAGTACCAGGATGAATGGATGATCCGAGTGACAAGATGGTGATTGTGGCAAAAAAAAAAAAAAAAATCCCAGATATCAAAGTTATTTTGGTATCATATATGTTCATGTGGAGCACGTAAGAGCTGTAGTCAGTCTTAGAGACTTCGCCGAAGGAAAAAAAATCCCAGACGTCATCATCATAATCATAAATATGATATATGTTTCATGAGGAGCGCGTAAGAGCTCTTGTCAGTCTCAGAGACTCAGACTCAGTGCCATTTACTGCACGGAAACGGCATCTAATTTCTTCAGTGGACTTTGACGGGTGAGTGACTCAACGCAGTCAAGTCACCGCGGAACATGAAAAATCATCCTATCTACCCGCAAGCAATTGCCAAGCAACAACCATCTTATCCTGCTGTGCGGGCTACAGCACTTGCCAAAAGATCAGAGACCAAAATCACACGTGGTTTCCCGCACGCACCCAAGGAGGCATGGCACCACGCTCGGTGAGCCTGCTGCTCCTGCTGACGCTTGTGGTGGCCGCCGCAGGAGCCGACGACGAGGCCGCGCTGATTGCCTTTAGGCCACGGCGATCGCTGGCGGCAGCAATGGCGACACCCTCGCGTTGTGGAACAGTAGCAGCACCGGCGGATTCTGCGGCTGTGTGGGGGTGACGTGCGGGGGCAGGCACCGCCGAGTTGTGGCGCTGAGCTTGCACGGGGGCTGAGTGGAGCCCTCTCGCTTGCCGTTGGGAACCTGTCGTTCCTCAGGACTCTGGACCTCAGCTCCAACGCATTCAGCAGGGGCATCCCCGACAGCCTCGGACGCCTCCGCCCATGTTTAGTTCCAACCTAAAATCCCAAAAAATGCTACAATAGTCATCACATTGAATGTTTGTGGCCCGTGCATGGAGCATTAAATGTAGACGAAAAAAACTAATTGCACAGTTTGGTGGGAAATTGCGAGACGAACGTTTTAAGCCTAATTAGTCCATGTTTGAACACTAATTGACAAATAAAAACGAAAGTGCTACAGTAGCCCAAAATTTCAACTTCCTGTAACTAAACACGGCGTCCGCCGCCTGCAAGCCCTCAACCTGAGCAACAACATCATCTCAGGCAAGATCCCCGCCAACCTGAGCAACAAGCCAAGGCCCCGTTCCCTGTCTTGTCTTATGAGCCGTACCATTTCAGCGAAAGAGCAATATTTTTTTTCTCATAACAAATCAACAAACACTACTTTCAGCTATTAATCTAACAGGGCCTCAGCCTCTTGCTCAAGGAGTCTGGCGCTGGCGGTGGCTCGGCAAAAACAAGCCACGTCTCCACGTCCCGACCGACACTCCGCCAGCAGGGACATCATGAATCTTTTGGCTGGCCCAGACAAGGGCGTGACATTTGAGCAGAGCTACAATGCCCATGGCCTAAGGCTCCATAACGAGCTGGCTCGGCTCGTTCTGGCTCGTTAAGATAACGAGCTAGCTTGGCTCGGCGTGTTATCCTAACGAGCCAGAAAGTCAGCTCAGCTCGGCTTGTTAAAAGATCGAGCTGACTCGTTAAACTCGTGAGCTAGATATAAAAAATACACAAAATATAATATTTGCATTTATCTAAAGTTTAAGAATAATAATATTATAAAAGAAATGCATCTAGATCCGTTATCAGTTAATTTATAAGGTCTAGACCAGTTACCAGTCAATTGTAAAGTGCAAGACATGAAGTAATATAAAAACTAATATAAGTTTTGATATTTTTTTTCCTGGAAGCTTGGCTCGTTTAGTTCGCGAGCGGCTCGTAAGCTGGCTCGAGTTGGCTCGTTATAGCTAGCGAGCTAAAATCTTAGCTCCGCTCGGCCAAGCTGAGCCGAGTCAAACCAGCGACGAGCCGAACGAGCTAACGAGCTTCGAGTTTTTCATCCAGTCTTACCATGGCCCTAGCAGAACGCCTGAGTGAGGAAATAAAAGCTGTTGGCTGTGACGGGGGCAGTTTAATTATTTTCGTACGATAAAGAAGGCCCCGCACCAAGATTCCTCTGTCCATCAATTATTGATACACCGAGTTTCTTTTTTTTCCTTTTCTTATTCAAAACTGCAAAAAAGGAAAAAATTATCATGGATATACATACGTACTCCTAGTTTCCTGCAAGGATCGACGAGGAAATTGTGAGTTAGCACACGCCTAGCGGTTAGCCGTTACAGCATCTCCACAAGTTCCTTCAATTTTTTTTTGCTAAAATCATGAGTTCATGAACACAATAATGAGTTCGGACTTTTTGACTTTTTTTTTAAGAATTACATGGTACAACGTAGACACCACATAACACCCATGCACATTCACCCTTACGAACACACGTACGTAAATCCTACCCCTATAAGCACCTCCAAAGAACTGAGCCAGCAGATCTTGAAAATCACGAAGTCACCACAAGCGCCTCGCTATCGACGGGAACGTCACCTACCACTGAAAGCATAGCGCCATAAATCCTAGAATAAATCCAGGAAAATATGAGCACCCGTGCCAAGTCGAGGACTTGAATCCAGGTGGGCAGATTTCGGCTCCGTTCGGCTGGCAGAATCTTGGCTGAAACTGGCTGGTTGTTGCAAGAGAGAAACACTGTAGCGGCTGAAACTGGCTGAAACTTGTGAGGGGAACCAGCCGGCTGGTCAGACCAGAGAACTGGCCCTTCACCACAAGGAACCCAACTAACTAATCTAGGATCAGTTCGTCGGACTTCTTCGTCTTGTTCTTTTGTCTTATCAGTCCGGTTTATCAGTCATGGTGCAGTGTTATTCTCTCACAACAAAATAGCATCAGCCGACTTATCAGCCGCAAAAATCATCAGCCGAACACCCCCTTTGCCTTTGACCAATCATTTCCAATATTTTACTCAAAATTTAGAATTGATGACATGCCATGATGTCTTGCCGCTGGGGCTAGCCATCCAAAAAAAATCTTTCTCGGTCCATCAGAGCAACTCCTATTAGACCTAACCGATTTGTTGGCTACCCAAATCCCGCCTACCACTACCCATTCCTGTTGGGCCACATGTGACTACCTAAATTCTTTTCCCCCACCCACGCCTCTCTCTCTCTCTCCTTTGCTCAAGCGTGTCCGCCCAAGTCCACACGTGAGCTCCCGCCCAAGTCCAACATAGGGGAGCTCGCCGTCGCCGCCGCAGGGAAGCATCTCCGGTGTGCCCCTCACCGGATCTGGAGCATCTCCATCGTAGGGGAGCCCTCGCCGGTGTGGCCCTCACCGGCGTGGCCTGTCGGCGTGGGCGGCCCTACCCCCTACGG